ATATTCATCATTCGCTACTGCTATTTTTAAACTTCTAATCCACCTCCCTGTAATGATGACTCCGTGAATTCATCGTCACTAGTGCAATGGGTACCACGCCGTTCACTGCACGTGGTTACCATTTCCCATCCTTATCCTGTTGAAATGGATTGCGGTGTGGAAAGTGGCAACCCACCCACTAATTACGATGATGAGCTTGTCTTTATATGTTTATTTATTTATTTATTTTGGCTTTGGTGTTTATGGAATCTTAAAATCAGGTATAAACATTCTCAAATCCTGTGGTGATGGTCATTCGTTTGTTTTTTTTCACACGTAGGTGATGTTATTGGCTGGAACCGACACCTCAGCAGTCACACTGGAATGGGCAATGTCAAATTTGGTCAACCATCCTGACATTTTGGAGAAGGCGAGAGTAGAATTAGACCGTGAAATCGGTCAAGAAGTCTTGGTGGATGAATCAGATATTAGCAGATTATGTTATCTCCAGAATATAATATCGGAGACACTGAGGTTATATCCGGCGGCGCCACTTTTAGTGCCACATTTGTCATCGGAGGACTGTGTTGTCGGGGGGTATGATGTGCCGCGTGACACCATGTTGTTGGTCAATGCTTGGGCCATACATAGGGATGCTGAGTTGTGGGATGATCCAACAAGTTTCAAGCCCGAGAGATTTGAAGATGGGGAGGGAGAGACCCATAAGATGTTGCCTTTTGGGATGGGAAGAAGGGCCTGTCCTGGGTCGGGGTTGGCCCAAAGAGTGGTGGGCTTGACTTTGGCCTCACTAATTCAATGCTTTGAGTGGGAAAGGATTGGAAAAGAGAAAGTTGACATGAGTGAGGGTAGAGGTGTTACCATGCCCAAAGCCATTGCATTGGAGGTTAAGTGTAGAGCTCGTCATAAAATGGACAAAGTTTTAGGTAGCATGTAGTTGTTGTATTTGTATGATACAGGGATTTTGAACCCCACCAACTTCTACTTTATATATATGATTGAATGATTTTCAATTATGATATCATGTAGGATGTAACATAACACTAAATGAAATGGTTAAATGATTGGTTCCTTTTTAATTGTGAATCAATATTTATTTACTTATTTGATACAATATAACTTTATGCAAAATATTATAAAAACGCATTGAAAGTTGTAATTGAATTTTTTTTTTTAGGCTAGATCTAGGTTAGTTGTTTTTTTTTTTTTTTTGAAATTAACCTTCAAATATTCAATAATCACATTAAATCTCGATTAATTCAGAATAAAACCTAATCAGAACTCATTAAAAGATAAACTTTTTCTAGTGACTGTTTTTTGTATTCACAAAATTTGAATTTAAAACTTTACTTAAAAAAAATTAAATTTTTTTCACTCAAACTAATAAGTCAATAATGTAGATTAGTTGTCATTTTCTTTTAAATTTGGTAAATTAATCCCTGAGGGGCTGTCGAAGCAACTTGAGAGATGGATGAAAGCTACACCTCAATAATGAATGAAAACACTGTAAAATAAGGCATTACTTGTAATATTTAAGTCACTTTCATCGAAATTTGCAAGAGTGATGGGCCACCCCAAATCCAACCAAATTCATACTTGTATATCATCGTGTTTCACGAGTCTTATGTACACATCATATTATTAAAAAAATTATAAATTTATTATAATAATATAATATTAAATAAATATAATATAACATTAAATAAATAAAAATATATACCATCATGAATAAATTTTTAAATAAAAAAAATTACATAACGAACATATTATCTTATAAAATTTTAATATTACGTGAAATTATAATTATAATATTTACGTATTAAAAAATAAAATAATTTTATATCTTACAATTTAAACAAGATCAAACTATAAAATATTAAAAATTATGTCTTAAATAGGAGTTGATTCCTTAACATTAACTACTTTTTTTAATTTAAATAATAAATATTTTACTATTCAATATAATTTAAATATTAACATACTTTTTCAAAACAAAATTTGAAAAAAAACAAAAAAAGTCTTTAAATAGGAGGTTGCACTTTGCATGATCAGTCCATCACAAACTAAAATGGAAAATTCCTTATTTTATTTGCCTTTTTCCTTCCTTTTCTTCCTCCTTGCTATCAAGTTCATTCTGCCGACGAAACCCAAATACAAAAATCTCCCTCCAAGTCCCTTCGCTCTTCCAATTTTGGGTCATCTCCATCTCCTCAAAGAACCATTTCATCGAACACTTCACAATCTATCGGAGAAATATGGCCCCGTTTTCTCCCTCCGAATCGGGTCTCGCCTCATGGTTGTCGTATCATCCCCCTCAGCCATTGAAGAATGCTTTGTAGAAAACGACGTCATCTTCGCCAACCGCCCTCGCTTCTCGCTGGGCGAGTATTGCGCCTACAACTACACCACGATTGGGCTAGCCCCATACGGAGACCACTGGCGCAACGGTCGCCGCATACTCAACATTGAATTCCTCGCAACAAAGCGCTTAAACATGACTTCAGGCATCCGAAGTGACGAGATCAAGAATTTGCTGCGCAAAGTGTATGACGTTTCACGAAGTGGGTTTGCTAAGGTAGAGCTGAAACCCTTGCTTCTGGAACTGACGCTTAATATAATCATGAGAATGATGGCATGTACACCGTTTTCCGGGGAAAGAGCGAGGCGGTTTACGGAGCTGAAGGAAGAGCTTTTTGCAATGGCAGTTCCGTCGTATCCTGGAGATTTCTTGCCCATATTGAAATGGATTGACTACAACGGATTTATGAAGAAAGCCAAGTGGTTGGGTAGAGAAATAGACGCTTTTACGCAGAGTTTGATCGACCAACATCGAAGTGAAGACAAAGATGTTTCGAAAAAGGATACTCTGATAGGCCATTTGCTTTCCCTTCAACAATCAGAACCTGAATATTGTACAGAAGATACTATTAAAGGCATCCTACAGGTTAGTATAATTAAGAAAACTATAATTTTTTTTTTTTTTAGGCATGCGCAATCCCATGGTTTTATAGTTTAGATACTATACTAAACTGTAAAATACTAAAAATTTGATAAAGAGATCCACCAGGAAAATCAGGGGACCGGACTGCTGGAGAGTATGGCTATCAAAGTTTGCAGAAGTTATTAACTTGGATCAGTGCTGAAGGAGAATTCATTACAGACCAAATATCAATGACTTTTATTTTTTTTATTTTTTTTCTTTATCTTTAATTGTATAATAGACAGTAATATTTTTTCATAATTTATCTCACCTTTATATTATATAATTCAAAAGCAGAAACTCTTATTTGAGTTTGAAAGATATAATCGTTGAAACTATTTAGTGGTTGACAATGACTTTCAATTCAGTATATTGCTGATGATTCTCTGAATTTCTATGGTGCAGGATATATTGACTGCTGGAACAGACACAACAGCACTGACTTTGGAATGGGCCATGTCAAATTTGCTGAATCATCCTGATGTTTTAAAAAAGGCTTTGGCTGAACTGGAGAACCAAGTTGGCCCAGACCGATTGGTTGATGAAGCAGATCTCTCCAATCTCCCTTACCTACAAAATGTAATTACTGAGACACAGCGTCTCTTCCCAGCAGCTCAACTCCTCCTTGCACACATGTCGTCTGATTATTGCACCATTAAGGAATACGACATACCTCCTGGAACAATGTTGCTGATTAATGCATGGGCCATGCATAGAGACCCTGAGTTGTGGGAGGATCCAACAAGTTTCAAGCCCGAGAGGCACGAACAAGGGAAGGAGCATAACAAGCTTATTACGTTTGGTATGGGAAGAAGGGCCTGCCCCGGAGTGGGGCTAGCCCAGCGAGTATTGGGCCAGACCTTGGGGTCCTTAATTCAGTGCTTTGAATGGGAAAAGGTGGATCGGAAAGACATTAATATGGTTGAAGGGACAGGGGCCAGCCTTCCTAAAGTTGTGCCATTACAAGTCATGTGCAAGGCACGACCCCTTGCAAACAAGGTGTTCTCCAAAGAAGTTTAGGGTATTAGCCAACCACCTTCCAACCTAACTGTTATGGCTTTGGTGGTGTCAGGTATGACACCTTATCTTGAATTTGATTTCAGTTCAGTGTGAATTTTTTTTTTTTTTTTATGGGAAGTTCAGTGTAAATTTTAATAATGCAATAATACCATTATGTAATCTGATGATAGCAATAATGAATTAAAACATTACCATAGTGGTTGTTTTAAAGTTTCAAGATGAGTTATCAACTGTTGACTTTAATCAAATTAAATGAAATTAAATATTTTAAATTATATTTTATGCAATAAATTATTATTAATTAGTTAATCAAAAAATGCTAATCCAAACACACCCTACATCTTTTTAGTATGAATATTCAACTACAAGCAAATACAAACATACACATTACAAATTTCAACAATTAAGAAAAAAAAAAACACCAAACTAAGGAAACTCTGGACAAAATGGGCAGAGTCCAACCCAAAACCAAGTGCTTGAATAATTTAATTCCAAGTCAATTTCATTATTAAAAAATTTGCAAGCATGAAGCATCCCACCAAATGCATCCTTATCTGATTACACAATTACAACACAAAAACAATGTAATTTGGTGGACATTTCTATCTTTCCATCCACTGATCTAACAACCCTCGCTCCTATTTGGCTTGGAAGAAACGAAGACCTGATCACAGAGAAAACAACTGCGTTCGTTTCAAAATCGATGAACAAAACAATGCTACTATGAGATATTTGGATCAATTACAATCCCATCTTGATACCTGATTTTCTTCAACATTGGGAATCCAGTCATTTGTTGCAGGGTTGCTACCCAAAGGTGGTCTGACGACTATGTTTTCCGGAACAGGGCTGACTTCCGGCT